GTTTATCAAATCAGTTACATGTAAAGCAAGAAGGATTGAAGAGAGGGTAATAAATCCATTGGCAACCACAAATGATGCTGTCTTCAGTTAAGAATACACTACTGAAAAAGTACTCATCTATTAGGTAGGTTGGCAAGCCCCAAGATAAAATAGCCTGCCAGAATACTCACAATTCACAAGAAACGTAAGCCAGGACCCAAATTGCCAAAAAAAGTAGCCTTCAATAAAATGGAAGACTTAAGGGTTTTTGTCTTTGACTTTTGTGAGTGGTAGCATTTGTGGTCCCTGTTATTAAGCTTTGATGTACAACAATAAGAATTACAAATCCTTCTGCAAGATCACCTGATATGATCTAGAAATAGCCTGATGCCCACAGCAAAGTCTCTGAGTCAAGTATGAAGTATCAGTGGTAACACTGCGAGAGTCACAATGTTATCTTTTCTTTTTTTTTCAGTAAAGGATCTGGGAGTTCAAAAGTTGAGCATGAGTCAGTAATGCACCCAAGCAACACAGAAGGCCAACAGCCTCCTGGGCTCCATTAGGAAGAGCATTGCCAGCAGGTGGAGGGAGATGATCTTTCACTTCTACTCAGCACTGATGAAACATCTGGAGTACTGAGTCCAGTTCGAGGTTCCCCGGTTCAAAAGAAACATGGACACACTGGAGTGAGACAAGCAAAGGGCCACAAAGATGATTAAGCGACTGGAGCACCTGTCACAGGATAGCCTGAGGGAGCTCGGACTGTTAAGCCTTGAGAAGAGACGTTTCAAGAGGGATCTTATCAATGTGTATAACTACTTTATGAGAATAAGTATAGAAGATGGCACCAGACTACTCAGTGGTATGCAGTGAAAGAAGAGGCAAGAGGTACAAACTGAAATATAGGAGATTTCATTTTAAATTAAGAAAAATCTTTTTGTCTAGGATGGTCAAACACAGGTACAGGTTCCACACAAAGATCGTGAAGTCTTCATCCTTACGATATTTGAAACCCAGATGAACATAGCCCTGAGCAACCTGCTGCAGTTAATGCTCCTTTGAGTAAATCTCCAGAGGCACCTTCCAACTGCAACTATTCTGTGATTTTGTTCTTCACTGTCTAAAACTAAACTCAGTTTTTTCACCTTCCATGTCAGGAAGCAAATCTGCACTGAGCTTTCTCTCCAAATTCTGTAACACCTGACTGGTTCCATCACTACTGGATATGATTTAGAGGTTAGAAATAAGTAAAAATATATCTTTTTCAAAAGAAACATATGCAAAAACCTTGCCAGGAGAGAAGGAGGTAAAGGCTATTATAAAAGGCGTGTATTTCAAAAGCACCCACACAATAGAATCCAAAGACTCATTAGTCCCGTGCTGTAGGAGAGAGATGTATTTTTTGCAGAGAAGCAGAGCTAAAAGAAGCTAACCAGGTAGTAACAAACTTATCCTAAAGGGTTAAGGACAGTAGTGAAGCTAGAAAGTTCTGCCTGAAGGCTCCCTGTGTTCCAGAACTGGAGGTGGGTATTTTGAGATGTGAGCTTTCCTGTGACAAAGGAATATATTAAAAAGAAACCCCAAAACTAAAACAAAAAAAACCCACCCCAAACAGTAAGAGTTCTTTACCTGAGATTACACACCATGATATATCATGCTTGTGTCAGCTCTGCCTTCAACTCGACAAGGAAGCACAAACTGCATCAAAGATCAACATATGCCATTTGATCACAAGCCACAAAGGGTTCAGTTCTGTCAAGGTTTAAATCAAGATGGAAGAGCAGATGTTCTGAAGATCCGTGAGCATGGCATGCACAGAGCATGCCTTCTGATTCAGTCAAAACTAATTAGACCTTTTATGCAACCTCTCTCTACTCCTCCGCATGCAACACTTACAGAAAAATTTGTCCCCTTCTTTTCCTGACAGAATGATGAGGTCATGGAAAAATAATGTTCCTGAAGGTTGTTCAAGTGGCTGTACCACACTGATTTTGAGTAAAAGAATCATAGAACCGGTTCAGTTGGAAAAGACCTTTAAGATCATCAAGTCCAATCATTAAAAATACTTATACAGTTAGAAATACTGAACCATTAGAATATACTGAAAACTGTATTGACAGGAGTTCCAGTAGCTTTGGCAGGACTTCACCAGTGTGTCTGTAACTGTAATATTCAAGATGCACCAGAGTTTTAAAATAAGAGGTAATCCCCTTTGAAATGAAGAAATGCTCCAGCTTGGATCACTATGTAGATGCCACCCTGCAAACTATTACCTTCCCATTTAAATTGAGTGTTCTTAGCAATACTCAGCTGATGTCAGCATTCCCAGCTTAAGGACCATTACTCATTCCTATGAATGAGGGAATGTGTCTTTTCTGAGGATGTCTGAGATCCATGTGAGGAGCTACTGTTCTCCTGGAGAGAATTTGGTGAGGAAATCACTACAAAGGTGGGATCGTTTTCTTCCCTTTCTCCAAATTGCATAGAAGAAAGGTAATCAAAGCCACACAAATTTTACACTTAATTTTTCCAGCTTCTCAGATACAAACTCACTAGCAAGGATATATTGTGAACCTTTGATTGGTTCAGTGCTATTTGGACTGATGCATCTGAAACTAAAAAGAAGACCTGGCCAAATGAATTTCTGATAAATAATTTAATCAGGTGTAAAGAGCCAAGTTGCTTTCCTTCCGTAGACTGCGCAATGCCACAAGTCACAGTTCTTTCTCTGTGCTTGAGAGGCCGTAATTAGCATAGCCCTACAGTGAGGACTATCATATTACATTAAAAATTCCATCATTTGGGAATTAAAACTGCAGACTATTTTGTGAAGCATGGCCAGGATAAATCTTATTATTTAAAACAAATCTTTATAAGTATTGACAAATGTAATAAAATTTCCAACATGAAAGTAAAAGGGAAATTTTTACATTTCAGTTCCAGCACTGTAAAGGAAACTCTTTCATGCTTACAATTCAAACTCAGCATGTCAAGTAATTTCACTGTTACAGACTTGAATTACCTGCACTGGCCTGAGGGCATTATTCACTCTCTGAGAAAGATTGTACTTTAATATTGCTGTGATTTTCCCAAGTAATTTTTATGCAGAAGCCAGGATGAATTGGAAACATCCATTTCAAGATTAAAGTGACAACATTTGGAGACTGCAGAGAACCATGTAATTGAGAATTGGGCTTAGGGATGTGCCCAAAATTAAATATGTGGATGAGAAAATAATATTAATAAAAGGATTACTTTTTTGCTTTCTTTGCTTAACTTCTGCAATGTGGATATTAAACAGGGTTATAAAATACAAATACACCCTTACTTCAAAAATGTTTGTATGCATACGCTATATCGAATGCTTACATGATATTGAAAGACCATGAAATTGTTGACGACTGTGTCCCAGCTCATGTAATAATTTGTGTCACACACAGGAGGAAAGTAATCTTCCCACTCAGTTTTAATGCATCCATTTTTGGAAGCACTGAATCACCCATCTCTTTTAGGGATTATCAGCTGCCTGATCATCTGTTAACTTCCTATGAAGTTGGGGGCTGGACCCAGATCATACTCTGAACAGGCTAATGTGAACAGATGTGAACATCACAGAGCCTGATGTGAACTAAAAGTTCCATTACAGACTTAGACAGAGCAAGAACTCGCTGTACAAATAAATGTCCTTATCCAAAAGTGTTTGCCAAAACTTCCCAGCAGCGTGCTTCCAGGTGAAACTCTGGATGAATTGGTTCTCTTGTAAGCACACGGCTTTGAAGAAATGTGCAGACAGAAAAACTGATGGGTTTATATAATGGATTCTAACAGGAAAATAAGGTAATGGGGAGTACTCAGTGCTTTTATTATTTAAATAAAGTTTATTGTAAGATAATATACGAAAAATTTTACTATGTTAAAAAGTAGTAGGACTTGTTAAAGAAAGCGATTGAACAGTTTCATTCTTTTCCCAGACTAGCTATCTTACTGTCTGTATCAAGGCAAGGCCTCTTCATTACAAAATCAACCATAAATATTTGTGTCGTGACTCACTACTTTCAAGGTAACTAGTTGTGTGGACAGCAAAATTTCTTTACTTCTCTAAGAATCTCATTATCAGGTTTTCCATTATAGTACCACACCTATTAACTAAGTATATTAAGGTTTAGGAGTAACTGTTGACATTGTGGGAATTTATCTTGTAACTGATAGAGGCTAGGGGAACACGACATGAGGTTTTAGTAACTGAAGCTGGACTAATGCAGGTCCACATGTGTATTAGCTCTTAATCAATGAATTCAACGTCATCCTTAAAATTCTTGCTCTGTGAGATAATGAAGGCTGAAAACATCTCTAAGAAGAAGTATCAACTGCTTTGATGAATGAAATATGAAAAATTAGGCATGACAGAAGTTAATCAGTTTCCTCTTCTGTCTGCATATGTTTTGCCCAAGATTCATTCTTCTTGGGAAAGAACAGCATTGTAAAGTAGGGAGAAGGGATCCAAAAAAAAAAAAGGCCTCCTTTGAGAGTTAAAGGCCTCCTTCCACAACTACTACCCTGGTTTTTTAACAGATAACCCTAGAAAGATTCACTGATGACTGGTGTTCTAAAAACACAGTAAGAAATCAACAAGTGAACCTCAGTAACTCAGGAAATCTACCACACAAGTTACGCATACTGTGCTGTTGCTCCCAACAGCAGAAGAAATTTAAAGCTACTACACGTAACTGCAATCTAATTGTGCATGATCCACTGCCTGCTGAAGTCCATACAAATATTTCAGTTCACTATATCATCTACTAGATTCCAGCCACTAAAGAAACTAAGAGTAACCAAACTATCACAGCCACTAAAGAACCAACAGTAACCTATTACACCACAGGATAAAATAAAACAGTACAGTGTCAATAGGTAAAATCGTTACATTAGCTGAAATGAACTCTGTATGTCTTCTCCTTTAGCTGAATCTCACCTATGAACGTTATTTCAATGTTTCAATTTTTCTGCTAAGCTTTACTTACCTGAATAGAGATTTATTTTTATTGTTCTTCCTCTTCCTCTACTGAAACGCAGCCCTGATGACTCTATCGCTAAGTGGCTGAGTTGGTCTGAAGTTGTCTCCTAGGATTCCATCACAGCCCTCTAAAAGTTCAGCGCCTTTAACGTGTGTCCTCAGCCTACGGAATTCCTCTATCTGAAAGGAAAAAAAAACAGACATGAAGAATCCGAGATATATTCTTCACTGTGGAACTAATGATCGAAATCACCCTTGTCCAGCCATTTCTGTGGCTTTGAAACTTGGGAGTGTTCAGGTACCATCCACTAAGGTCAATACACATGATTATATATACATTTTAAAATAGTTGTCAGCGCTATCAAAACATTCAACATACAGAGAAAAATAACTTTTATGCACATGGTTTGAAAAACTTATCCCTTGTTTTTTGTAAATTTCTTTGAGGATCTATAAATTTCTCAGGCATTGCAGATTACATCCTATGAATCAACCTCACAGTTCTGGCATGAAAGTAATCATTTTGGTCCTCTTCAAAGCAGTGCATTTTAGGAATAACTTGATCTATAAACCTGGACTATAAATTTCTTTTATTTCTTCCAGTGATTTATTTATTGACTGAAATTGTTGTTTCATTTAAATAAAAATTATTTTTTAAACTAGGAGAATTTTGAACAGGCTCTCAGCTTTGCAGGAAGTCCGTTGACATATTATATGGAAATGTTTTTTCCAATCAAAACGAAATACTGCTTCAGAATTTCTGTAGGTGTAATTGCCAAGTGTACTTAGAAAATCAAATACAGTCAGAAAATCAATATAAAACATTTAAATTGGTCCAAAACAAATATGTTTCCAGTTGTAGACTCTTTTTAAATTTTTTAAGTCTAA